CGAAGCGCGTTTCCACGAGCTGCCACACATTTTCCGTTCGTGCTCGCATGACAAAGATGAGCATCGAAATCTTTGGATCAGCGAAGCCACTTGGACCTAGAGGCATGCAAGAGAGAGAGAGAGAGAGGGAGAGAGAGAAAGAGAGAGATAATGATAATGGGAACTACCGAAGGATACAGGAAACGAGAAAGGCAATGATAAAGCTGGAGACACACACACACAAGAACACACACACACACAAACCACCTACACAAAGATACCACCCCCACCCCCCCCTCCTCCTCTCGAGTAGGGGATCGACTGCAGAATTGCTTTTACACCAGGTTCATTTTTTCCGTTGAGTCTACAACAACATGCGTAGAAGGTTCCGTGGATCCACGGAGCACCCCACGAATTATCGACGCAGAGATCAATGTTAGGGTACATCGGTTCTGTTGTGAAAGATGCTTTTGAGACATTTGGCTATCCTCCTCCCCCTTTCCCCCTCCCCTAGGGTCCAAACTCCGATCTGAGGGGTGGGGCGGGGGGGGTATGGACGAGTTCATCAACCATCCTGGGCTCTCCGGAACCCCCAAAAAGCCCAGGCAGCTCACCAGGGCCAGGCAGAGCGCCACGACCATCGAAGAGAGCGCAATGACGGCCAAAAGTAGCTCCACGACGATCCAATATGGTTTCAAGATTGCCCACGAGGCTCCCAAAAAAAAACCCAAGAGGCCCCAGAAAAAAAAAAAATCCCAAGAGACCCTCACAGACCCTCAGATTCATCCAAGGGCCCCTGACCCAAAATGTCGCTTCCATGATCGTCTCAAACACTCACTCCTTGTAGGGGCCGGCGGAATCAATTTTGTAATCGATCCCCTAATCGATCCCCCCTTCATACCTCTGGCGCCGTGGTTCTTGAGCGAAGCGGATTCCCAGAGGTCCAGGCTCCCTCCCCAAAGCCGGCCTTTTGGCCCGAGCCGTGTCCTGACGGCCCCTGGGCCGGGCGAGGGCCTCGCGGAGGCCGACATCGGCCACTTCCGTCGTGACTGCTGCCAGCCCAGACGAGGTCTGGGCCTTCGGCCCGCGGGAAGCTCAGCGGCTCTCCGCAATGGCAGCGGCTGCGCGCTGCGCCGTGAGGGAATAGTTCCTGCCAGGGAACAAGCGATGGCATACACATAAGACCCAAAAGTCCGCGCGGATGCCTCGGAACGGCGCTGGAGCCACCTGGCGGCGCCTCAAGCCCCGCCTTTGGCGAACCTCTGAACTGTTCTAACTCATGTTTCCGTCATTGTTGGTTCCCCGGTTCTTGAGTTCGAATAGCTTTCCATTCTCGGTCTTTGTGGAGCGCCTAAAACGACCAGAAAGGCCACCGATGTGGCCCCGACGCGGCGTCCGAGGCCTCAAGAGGGGCTCAATGATTACTCCGACGGTGGAACACCACATGATAATCTGTTTAGCTCGCCTTTAGCCTCTTCCTCCTCGCCCTGGCGGGCGCCTTCCTCTCGCCCTCTGCTCTGCTCCCCTTTCCTACCTCTGTGTGTCCTCCCCCTCCTCCTCCTTCTCCTCCTCCTCTTCCTTCTCCACCTCCTCCTCATCATCGCCCTCCCCTACCCCGTCCCCCCCCTCATCCCCCCCTGCCTCTTCTCCATGTGCGCCTCCCCTCCTCCCCCGTCGGGGCAAGCGCGTCGATGTTCCTCGGCGCTGGCGCCGCCTCGGCCAACGCGCGCGCGTTCGCCGACGGCTAAATCGCGAAGCTTTTGAGGCAATCCCGCGGGCCATGCTTTTGGGACAACCCCGCGGGCCGCTGGGGCGCGGGGGCGGGCCGCCGGGTCAAACCCCGCGGGCCAGGCCGTTGGGGCAACCCCGCGGGCCTCGGGGTGGGCGCGGCCGCGCTCATGCGGTGGGCAACGCGAAGCCCAGCCGTGCTGTGAGCTGCTCCGCCTCGGTTCTGGATCTCTCCGCTATCGCGTCGAACTTCCGGAACGCTTTCTGCAGGGGCCCGCGCTCCAGGAACTTTCGCGCGGGCGGCTGCAGGATCAGCATGTTCCGAATGCGCCTGGCGCGGGAGATCAGGACGTAGAGGTGCAGCCGCCACTGCTCGTCCGACATGTCCGTGCGACCAGCGTCCTTATCCCTGGCGCAGTCGATGGTGACGCCGTCGCCGCGGGGGGGACAGGGTTCAGCCGAGCGGGTGGCCCTCTCAAAAACACAAAAGTAACCCCGCTTGGATTGGCCCGCGACGGCTCGCATCACCTTTCGTTCCTGAGCCCAACAATGACGACAGCTACGAGATCCAGAAGACTTGCTCGGATTCAAACATGGAGTTGTGGGCAACATAGCGAGCAGGCTCCCGCTCGAAATTTCCTCGCCACTCATTCACAAACGAGGCTCCCGCCTGAGACTTCCTCAAAATACAAACCTGGTTGGGGATCGCAAAATTTGTTACAGGTCTAGGTTTCGCATGTCTTGCTCGGGTTACGAATATGCAGCGCGGGCCCCATCGGTAGGGGGCTCCCGCCTGAGACTTCCTCGCAAGTCGCTCGCAGATGACGCTCCCGCCTGAGGTTTCCTCAACATTCATGCGTGAAGGGCCCAAAAATGACCACAGGTACCAGATTTGGATGACCTGCTCGGATTGCCAACATGAAGTGCGGGCTCGATGGGGAAGGGGCTCCCGCCTTGAGACTTCCTTGCAATTCACTCACAAACGAGGCTCCCCGCCTTAGGCTTCTTCGAAATTCAGGCGCGAGGGTCCCAAAATTGAAGACAACAGCAACATGTTGATGACCTGCTCGGATTGCCAACATGAGTTGCGGGCTCCATGGAAAAGGGGCTCCTGCCTGAGACTTCCTCGCGATCCAATCACAAACGAGGCTCCAGCCTGAGGCTTCTTCAACATTCAAGCGCGAGGGGCCCAACAGCGACGACAGTTACAAGATTTGGAGGACCTGTTCCGATTACCAACGTAAAGCGCGGGCTCCATAGGAAGGGGGCTCCCGCCTGAGACTTCCTCGCAATTCACTCACAAACGAATCTCCCGTCTGAGGCTTCGTCAACATTCAGGCGCGAGGTGCCCAATATTGAAGGCACTTACAATATTTGGATGACCGACTCGGATAACGAACAGGAAGTGCGGGCCCCACCACGCCTGAGACTCCCTCATAATTCGCTCAAAGACGAGGCTCCCGCCTTAGACTTCCTCAAGATGAATCCATGAATGTGTGACTGTGTTTGTGTGTGTGTGAAAGCGTATGAGTGTGGGACTGATGTCGATGATGATGGTGATGATGATGAGTGGATGAGTGAGTGAGTGAGGGACTGAGTGATGTTGAAAAAGCAGATGATGATGATGATGATGATGATGATGAGTGTGCATATGTGAATGTGCAAGTGGCGAAAAGAGGGGCTGATGATGATTATGCTGGTGATGATGATGATGCTTATTATGATGGTGATGGTGATGATAACTAAAATGGTGATGATGATGCTGATGCTGCTGGTGCTGCTGCTGCTGATGATCATGATACTGATGATGACGATGATGATGATGATGCTGATGATGATGATGATGCTGATGATGATGATGATGATGATGCTGATGATGATGGTGATGATGTGGGTGGGTTTCTGTTCCTGTTCATGCGCGGGGTGTCCAGAGAAAACAAGAAACCCACTTAGGATGTGGGGATAACCCAAGAAGGCCCCAAGAGGTGCCCCCAAGGGGGAGCTCGATAACAACTCCATGAGCCACGGGCCCCCCTTGGACACTCATACTTGGCACGCCCGACACTGGAACAGGAAACATGGAGACGACGCTCAACAGCAAACGTTGTCCAAATCTGGCAGCGGCGGCTGTTGCGCAGCCAAAGATTGTCCTGAATGGACAGCAGCCGCGGTCACACCGACAACGAGCCCTGCTCAAAATGAACAAGACTTGCCGTCGGTCATCGTCACCATTCTTTCGGTACCCTTTCCGACCCTCTGCAAACGAACCTCCCCACATCCTCACTGCTCCCCCTGGGCTAGCCTTCGGATACCACGCGCGGCGCAGGTCGACCTCAGGCGCGCTTGCCCTTTCGAGCCACCAACAGATACTCGGGGAGACGTGAGACTCGGGTCGGGGGACTCCAGTTGGCCTGACGGGGCCGTCAGGAAAATGACGAACCCTCCTCTGAAATTTAACACGAGCGTCCGCTGCAAACATCCCACGAAAACCGGACCGTCAAAATCAAATGCGGGTTCGTCAACAAACGGGATGCAGTGCGTACCCTTGCTAAGATGACCTTGCCACTCAAGGTTTGGACCTCCACCGCTGTAGCGGCGGGTTGGAGAAGTCCCTTCCTTCACCACGGGATGATTGGCCCTTGTCCACGGAGATGAAGAAGTCCCAGTGGCTAGGCGAGCCGGAGTTCCGACGCACTCGAGTCTCGTTTCCCCGAAAGTCGAGCGGCGAGCCCAGGGGCGGCACGGGGCGAGGCGCTCGGCAGGCAGGGCTTGCGGCAGGCCCAGGCAACCGCCCCTCTGGGGCGATCCATCGCCTCGGCGGCCGCCGCCGTCGCCCGCCCGCTCGCCCGACGGCGGCCGAGAGGCGCAGCGCCGCCCGCGGCCGAGCGCTGCGGGGCACTTCGGCGGCGAGCGAGGGGGGAAGTGAAAAGGATAAGGCCTTCTCAGAAGGCGGCGGGGTCTCTCAGAAGCCCTCGCGCCTTCTGACAGGTCAGAAGGCCAGACTTCCGAGCCTTCTGAGAAGGCCCGCCCCTTCTCCCTTCCCCCTGGGCTCGCCGCCGAGCACTGACTAGGGAACCTGCAGAGGACGTACGCGCCCAACCACGTACATGACTACGGCCTCCCAGTCCGCGAGAACCACCTTCATATCATGAGCGATCGCGCGATGCGTACTTTCGAAACCGACGTGGCTTCGTGTACGTGTGCGTCCTTCTGTTCGCTCCTGGCCCTCCGCGCCCTCGCGCGCCGGTCGAGTGGCCCCGCCGCGCGCCGGGCGAGGAGGGCCCCGCGGGGCGTCAGAGCTGCAGCAAGCCCCGCTGCGCTGGGCTCGGCAGCCCGCCGCGCGAGCGCGGGCTCGGCGGCGAGGGGCTCCAGGCGCCGGGGAGGGCGCGCGCGAGGGGGCTCGCGGGCCCGACCAGCGGCGGGTGCTCGGAGGGGGAGCCCGGCGGCGCCTCTGCGGGGAGGGGCC